ATTTAAGTTGAAGAACAAGTTACTGGGGAAAAGGATTTCTATTTTTGTTTCCACAGAAAATGAAAAGATGTGGATTCCTTCCAGACTAATGTGGTTTGATCACGCCAGACCGCCTGAAACAGAGTACAAGCTGATCCTACATTCCAAACAGCTGGACAAAACAGCCCTACAGACTACAGCTAGGATATCTGAATCTTCTTCGAATCCCCCAAGACAGCACCCCTTACCAGCAGGAAGTAGTTTGGAAAGAACGACGCCCAAATTCCCAAATATTGTGCTCCCTAAATCTTGACCCAACTGGGTATAATAACACAAGAATTATAGAAAAAAAATCAAGTCTCCTAGATTAAACATATAGATATAGCAGATTCTTTGTTAAACTCAAAACCATTAAACTTAAGAGAATTAATAATAGCATAGGTAAACTAGGCATGGTAGTATGGACCTATTATCCTGTACCTGAGACGAGATAAGAGGAAAATGGGGAACCTGAGCCTATCCTGGCCACACAGTGAGACTCAGTCTTAATAACAGAGTGTGGAGTTTCAGATATTCTTGGAAAGCAACCATGAGAGGTACCCCCATTTATACAGAAAGCAACCAATACGAATTATCAGTTTTACATTTAACTTTAGAAATACTCAACAACTGTCTTTGCAATATAAATACTTTTAGGTTTAGAGGAGCAACCAGGCCTGTTCAGTTCCAGTCTGGACAACAGTGACCTCAGAGGACACAGGAGAACTATACTAATCACTCAAAGACATGTAAACAAAAGAATCTAAAGGACTTCAGCACAGGGCCCAAACTTCTGTACATATTAATTTTCTTAGGTCAACTGCTTAAAAATCAGAATGTCTTCAAATCAAATGTCCAGAATCACCTGCGTTTGTTGAATAAATAATGATCACCATTGATTGCAGCCCTGAGCATTATTCAAGTAGCCCCATGCTTTAAAAGCTCAATAAGGTAAAGTCAACTGAAGAAGTATGTGGTCACATCTTGTAATAGCATACAGCCATACCATAGCCAGGATACTGACATTGAGAGGATCAAGACACCAAAACAGATCGTCCATGTTATTTTGGTATACATACATCCACAAGCTCTGACTCATTGTGTAACCCTGGCAACTGTAAGTCTTCTCTCCATTTCTACTATTTGTCATTTTAAGAGTAATATACTGATGTAACCACACAGCCTACTACTTTTAAAGATAATTTTCCCTAGAAAATCATTTATATAACTGGCTGTATTGATAATTTTCTCTTTTAGTTAGAAGTCATTAAAATATATGATTCCCCAAAGCAAGTGACAATATGGAAATTATACTTAATATTACAAAAGAAAAAAATCAAACTACTGAAACGTGTATGCAATATAATTCTTGCAATATTTGAGAGGAAAGAAGTTGAACCAGATAAATGAGTTCTAATAATTCTAGTAGTATGGGAAGTTCAGAGATTTTTATAGTTCTAATTATTTTGTCATCTTGTAATATTTACTTTCCTTCTTTCGTTTTTAAAAAAATGAATTATTTTATGGCAATTTTCTGCATGTTTTTAATGCATTCTGGTTACTCTCTCTACTCCTATCTCCCACCCGTGCTTCTAAATCTAACTTTAAAGTCTCATCACCTCTAAGCCTGTATTTCTGAATCCCTGAAAGAATTTTAATGCAGCAGTTAGCCTCAGTAAAATAAGTAGACTCTGAACCAAAAAAAAAAAAAAAAACTATTAAGGCAACAGAGTTACATCGCATAATATTTATTTCTAACTATCTGAAGAAAACAGGAATAACTGTAACACAAAAAATAAAAGACCCAGAGACAGATACTGGGGTCAAGCTGAAGATCAGGGAGGCAAAGTAGCTGGCCACTAGCTCTCACCTCAGGCTCAGGCTGAAAAGGCTGATCCATGCACGAGCTCTTCACCACCTCTCAAACTGCTGGCTCTCCTCAGTGTGGCTGGAGAATCCTGAGATTTCAGTGCCTTCCTATCCTCCTTGATACTGAGCCTTCCTATCTTCAGTGTGGCTGGAGAATCAATGCCTCCTCTTCAGTGTGGCTGGAGAATGAATGTCTCCTACTTAATACTAAGGATCCTGATTCTATCTTTAATATCCCTCTAGTGCTGGGATTCAAGGCCTGTGATCTGTTACTTTTACACTGATTCGTGTAGATCTAGGTGGTCTTGGACTCACAGAGAGATCCATCTACTTCTTACTCCTGAGTCCTAGGATTAAAGGTGTGTACCCCCACCTTCTAGTGTCTGGGTGCTGAGATTAAAGGTGTGTGCCTGGATTCTACAGCCTGTAGTTGACTTTGCTTTCTGAATCCTCATGCAATCTCTAATAAATCATACATAATTTATCACCATAAATGATGGTGAGGAAAATGAGCCTTTGGGATCTTCCTTGGGTAGCAATTACTAGTTGACTCAATCTTTGGCTTATACTTTGAAAAACTCCAGACTAACCAATAGTCTACTAACATCTCCAAAAATTTCAAGTGTTGTTGCTATGGTCCCTGAAAATAACAACTAGAAAAAACGTGGCCAGGTAGAAACTATGTTCCAAAAGTCCTTCTGAAACATCCTGCTAAGAAGAGCACTGTCAACACACTAGACAGACCTTCTTTGTAACCATGGCAAGAACTGAAAAGTATTTGTTCCAAAGAAATAAAGATTACAGATTTACAACTTTCCATGTTGTGTGGTTTTCTAACATTCCTTTCCAGTTCCTTTGTGGATCTCCTTTAAAAATTATATACAACTGGAACCGGCAATGATAATTAAATCATTAAAACCAGTCAAAGGTGGTCTTCAAAGGCCACACAAAAATGTCATAATGATGTTTCAATTTGCCTTATGAGCAAGGTCAAACTCCTGGAGAGAGGAATGGTAGCCAAATAAATGACTTACCTCCTATATACAGATATATGTGCTTTTCCATGCTTAATAACAAAGTTAAGAAGTAGACAAAAATAAAGGAAAATAAAGAAATCTGAAAATGAGCATGAAAAGGCTGTTTAATGTCACCTTCAAGGCTTGAAACAAAACAACGTAGCTACATATTTAGATCTCAATCCATAAAATAATTGTAAGTACTTATGAGAATCCTGTTCTCAGCTATACAGTGGTGGTACATACCTTTAAACACAGCATTCAGGAGGCAGAGGAGGTGGAACTCTAGAGTTCAAGGCCAGCCTTGCCTATAGAGTGAGTTCCAGCATGGCCAGGGTTACACAGAGAAATCCTATCTTAGGGGGAAAAAAAGAATCCTATTCTCTCATAAGCTGTGTAACATTGGAAATACATAATTGCAGGGTTAGGAGACATCAGACAAAGCTAATAGGTATGATTGAGAAAGTCCAATAAGGAAAAGACTGGTTTAAGCTCTCATCTCTGTAACAACTTCTTTATTCTGTAGTGAAATGCTCTGCCTCTGAACTTTTCCCCCAACACCTTCTTTATTCTGTAAAAAGCAGGTTATAGTTTTCTCACAACCTGTCCTGTCTTAACTGGCTATTTCACTGTGCTTGTACCAAGACTACAAGACTGACATTTGACTATTCATAAATCTAGAACAACAAGTATTCTTTTAAACTCTTCTCTTACAATTCTGTTTCAGTAGTTTCTAAATTATTTAAATTTCTCTATGTAGACATGATAATAGAACTATAGCAAAAACTATTAACAAAACTAATAACTTTATTACTCATTTATAAATGTTTTGCATGCTCTACAATATTTCAATAACTACAACGTGTGTGTGTGTGTGGGGGGTTCATTGATAAGGTTGAAAGTGGAGGTCAAAGGTCATCATTGGAATGTCTTTTTCAATGGCTTCCCCACCTCATGCTTTGAAACAGTGTCTCTCAATGAAGCTGAATGTGGGCATTGCATCTAGAGAAGCTAATAAGCCCCTAGTAATCACCTGTCTTTGCTCTGCTTAGTGCTATGGTTAAAGGTGATCCCAGCACATATGGCTTCTTACAGTAGTGCTGATGAGGATCCAAAGTCAGGTCTTCATGCTTACCTAGCAAGCAGTTTACTCACTCATCTTGCCAGCCCTGACAATAACTTTGTAATGTTTATTCAATTATTTTCTCCATTTTGTAATTAAGAAAGTTAGTATTATAAAAAGTAATCAAACTATTGGAGACCCCAGGAAGATATGGTGGTAGAGAGTGGTTGTGGTGTAAAAGAATTCAAATCCGGGGTCTGAATGCTTTACTCACTGAAAGATTATTTTAAAATGTCTGCTATTCAAATGTGACAATCAGTGACTTCTATGAAGGTCAGAAAGCTGGCTCTATCTCTAATTGTTTCAACAGCTCAGGCCGACAGGACACATGTATCTTACCTACACATTTGTATGAATATTAAGATCAGAACAAAAAAACATAGAATATTGTTTGACTCTGTAAACCAGAGTCTGAGGGCTGTCTTTGATATAGTGCTCTCTGTTTACACAATAAGGAAAAACATACAAAGGCTAAGGATTGAACTAACACAAGATAGACACAAATAGTATAGGCAATATCCTACTCTGCCTAGCCATAGGGAAGGGTTTTTACAGTAACTCCCTCAAGAGTCTTTGCCACTATGAAAGCAATGTCACACACTAAAGCAAAGTTCAGAACCAAATTTCACAACTAAAATCAATTCTCATCTGTCAAAAAGTCTCCAAATCTGCAGAAAAAGACAAAATTTGGAACCCACAAATGTATTTTCTAGTCATTTCAACAATATCAAAAAATATACAAACCCAACTAGAATTAATATGATGAGTAAAAGTAAGGCTTTAAAAGACATAAAAAAAAAGAAGTTATAAAATTGATATTGCTGCATTTGAGCAGTTTACACACCAACTCCTAGAGTGTCGGGAATTGCTATAAGTAGGTATGTTGAAACAGGAAAGAAGGTCATTGCTCTATACACACATACACACACACTGAATAATTACATATTTGTGGCATCAGTTAGTTACCATGGAATCAGACATGATGTCATACATTTGACATTCTAAATTCACAGCTAGACTGAACCAGGGAAGTGATAGGAAATGGAGCTGGGGAGATGAAGACCTTCTTAATAACAAAAGAATTCCAACAGTCGAAGACATGAGTCAAACATCTTTGAAACAGAAAAAGAAGGTGAGAGGGTGAAATGCCCGAGAATCTTATGGGGAAGCTGAGGACATGTATACATTAGTCCATCTTTTCTCTCTGGGAATGCTCTGAAAAAGCAAATAAAGCTAAACCATGGTGACATGTAAAGGGGAGTGGAGGGAACAGAAGAAAGGGATGGAGTGGGAGAGTGTAAGTCAACTTAATAAGTCACCATTTGCTGAGCATATGCTCATAGTTAATATGAAGAAGTAAGTTCAATGACTGAGTAGGACAGAGACATAAACCGTACAGTTCTGTGCTCAGTACAATTTATATAAAGACACAGGAATGTTCAGTTCTGGACCCAGATTGGGATGGGCAAAGCATTAAACATTATTGAAGACAAAGATGGTTTACACAGAAATGACAAAGGGAAAGGCTACTCAGCTTAAGTAGAAAGTGTGAGGAAGGGTGGTGAGCACGGAAGTAGGGGATAGTGGCATGCCATCCTGTGGGTCCTGATGTGCCTGAGTAAATGCAGAGCTGACCCAGGAATGAACCAAACCAGGCTTACTCTAATTACAGAGACACATTTGGAAATGGGAAGGCTTTTAGAAAAGAGTTGATTTAAATACCTTTTGGAGTTAGAAGTGACAGAATATTACTGAGATGGGAATAGAGACAAAGAAGCTGGCACAGAGAATCCAGTCAGTTCAGTAAAGCTAAAAGCCGTTCCTTGACTTCACATCCAACTAACATGGGAGGGTGACTCCTGGGTAGGCACAGAGAGTAAATGGATGAAAACACAAGTCTCTGGGAGGACTTTGATCTTATGTACAGAGCTCCAAAACAAACATTCAATATGAATATGAATCACAGTATGCATCTGAATTAGTGGGAAACAGTACAAACAGTGTCCTAAGTATTTCCCAGTTAAAAATGATTGTTTCCCTGAAAGAAATGGTCATGCTATCTGTACTTGATTTTTCCCTAGTTAACTGTTTATAGGAAATCCCCTTTCAGCTAGATGCTGAGAGAGAACTTTGATATTAAGAAAAGATATTCTTCCAATAAATTCATACAAGAGTAAAGCCCTTGTTTGTAAGATGCAAATTAATATTGATTAGGGTCTGTTAGATGAGCTTCTGTTCTATATGGAAAATGAAAAGCTCCATTATTAGCAGTCTTAAGAAAAACAGAGGGAGAGACACAGTTATCCTGCATAAGAAACTTAAGACTTAAATCTAAGAGTTGTTGACCCTGGAAATTCTCCTTACAGTTCTCTTGTCATTGTTTTTATTGATAAACACTGCCCATATCCTGAGCCTATGGAATAACCAAGTCTTCTAACACCATGCTTGTGTAATTTTTATTTATAAAATGGGCTCTTTTCTTATACTTCTCAGAATGGGAACAAAATTGTGTCTAGAGTTTACATATGTTTTTGATGTTGACAAAGAGACAGCTTTTAGGCTTTCTCTGCCACCACCACCACCCCTTCTTTTTTAATTTCCAAACCCAAGGTTTCTAATGTCTCTGAGGACCAAAATTAATAAACATTCTTTGTTTCCATGTTAAGAATGAGCCTGGGATGAGGTACTCAAAAGAGAGTCTAGATGCAGAGAAAAGGAAGGATTCCGACAAAACTGGAGCTCGGCTGAGCACTCAGGTGAGCTACCCTCCGTAGCACAGCTGAAAGAGAGAGCAGAAAACAATGGAAAACAGCAAGTGACAAGTTCTGGAAGATACACGTGAGCCATTCAGATCCATACCGCGGGCTAAATAAGGTCCAGTGAAGAGCTTAGGGACACACTTAGGAGAAGCTGGCCCTTGCCCTCCCTCCAGTCCACAGCCCCCATGCTCATGCAGAAGAAGTGTAGCAACATCACAGTCTCCTCCACTCAGCCAACAGGAGGAGACTGATCCCTTCAGTTTAGGGAGGGAAGGGAAGTCTGGCCATGGCATTGACCCATTTTCTGCACAATCTTTCAGATGAGGCGTGCAGGCTATCCGAATCACTCGCTGAGATGTTGCCCCATGCGGTATCACCACTCCTGTAGACGCTGCCTTTGTGCAGCTGAGGGAACTAGCCCCTGTCGCACAATACGTATTTATATTCACATGTGCCTGTTGTGGGAGCAGGGCCGGCAGATCACCATGATCAGGGTGAGCAGAGATCTCATGACTAATTTGGGAGGGGAGCCCCAGGCATCCTGGGTAGGGGAAGGATGCGGGACAGGAACTAGTCTGCTTGTCTCTCCAAGGTGCCCATGAAACAAAGACTGGAAGGTTGTATGCACTTGTGTGTAGCTGTTGCAGAGCCCTGCTGCAGCTGCGGCTTGGGTGCCCTGTGCCCTCACTTTACAGTATGGTAAAATCACAGATATGTAATTTTAACCTCTATTAGTAGCTTGATCTTTAAGGGAGGGTGTAAGGGTGGGGGTGGGAGGATGTGATTAACTCTGTTACACGCCATAGCAGAAGAGTCACAGGCAGAAAACTCTGAGCTACCACAAGGATTTCTTTAATATTGGATGCTCATGTTCTTTTAGGTGGATCTCCATTTTGTTACTTCATACTGAAGTTAGGATTGAGCCAAAGCAAGAACAGTACAACAAGGACCTAGAGCGAATCAAGGGTCATAGAAGTGGGGAGGGGGGCATCTTTCCATTGGCTGCTGCTGATTTTAGCCTGGCATGGTTATTCTGTGGGCATGTACATAGAAGGAGTAGGTAGTTAAGAATTAAATCTGTGGGTCTCTTCTCTTGCACAGGGATCCCAAGAATTACCTGTACCAAATACAGACTCTCGAGGGTACATTGTGAGAAACCAGTGGTCCCGAACATCACGGAGCCCATCCACTGGGGCTCCATCAGTGGATGAGCCCAGAAGCAGGAACACTGTTGTCAAGGTAGAGCTGGTGATGAAAGAGAGGAGAGGATGATAAACAATAAAAGATCTATCGGGGTTTATTTGTCAAAGTGCTCAGGCCCTGCTTGGGGTAACCTACCAAAGTTTTCACACAACAATGTGGTAGAGAGCAATATTAAACACAGCCTTCAGATCTAGCTATATGCTGTGTGTCCCTCATCTACACAATAGATACAATTGAAGAGACATGGCTCTCAAGAAAGGAAAGGGATGGAAAAAAATCAAATCAACAACAACAAAAAAAGAAAAGCTAAGTGCCATTGTGTATGCTTTAAGCCCTTAACTAGGCCTGACCACATATGTGTATAGAAAATAACAGATCCCCTGAGCTCGCTCTCTCTCTCTCTCTCTCTCTCTCTCTCTCTCTCACACACACACACACACACACACACACACACTCGTACATATATCTCCATTATACCTATATTCTGTCAGATTTGGTTCAGTAATTTCACCAAGAATATCATTCCACACATGTGAAACAAACATAAGTTGAAGTAATATGTGAATATTCGATAACAGCTTTCAGAGATGTCTCGGTAAAGGTATTCTTTCTCTAGAATTGCCCCTTCTTATTTAGAAAGATAATCAGCTCTGCTCATATCCAATAGCATACCAAAACTGATGACACGTGACTCCCCAGCCTTCCCAGGAATCATATACTAGTTTCAAGGCTAACAGAGCCAGTGATGAGCAAAGTAAGTAGAACATTCTAGCACCAGGTCTTACCCAGTTTGTGCATAAAGCTTACTGGAGTCATCAGGTGAGACCAGGTCTATGACTTACGATACTTAAAGACAAGAGGACTTGAACCAGTTTACTCAAAATCAAATAGCAGGTGCTAGAAGGGGCACCTATGGTAAGCATTCATGAGGTGTAGGGTAGGGAAGCTGGAGGATGAGAGCTAAGCAGTCTGTCGTTTAAACAGTAATATTCAATGTCTGCTTAACAGCTTTATGGCTTAAAGGAGCCAGAATGAACTAGGATTCATTCAAAGTCTAGGAATAGGCTAGGATATGCCATGCGGGAGAGTGGCATGTGAATCTCCATGGGCCTGGGCTTCAACCCCCCAATTTCTTTACCAGGCCCCCAACAGCTCTGCGACCTCTCGAACTTCCTCTGCCTCCCCCAGCCAACACGAGACCTCACCTCCACCTCAAGCATCAGAGAAGCCCTCCATACCACAGACTCCCCAGACCAGACCTGTCACTCCACTTGACTCACAACCTCCTACACCCCCGGAGCCAGAGCCCAACTCTCGGCGAACTTCAAAGATGCACTCAGTCAATGATCCCTGGATTCACAGGGAAAACAGAGAGCCTAGAGACTTGCAGTTGCGGGATTATGCGCACAGCTGTGACTCCCGAGACCTGATACCCAAGACTACTCGAGAGTATCCACGCACTCCTCCTACTGAGTGGAAATCCTATGTCCAGCGCCGCCTGCAATATGGCACCTCTTTGGATATGGATCAGGAATGTCTGTCTGAAGCCCAGCAGCGGCACCGGCAGCAGCAGGTGGAGGAAGATGAGGTGGACGAGGCCTACTGGTCATCTGTGAGCATGCTGTATGAAAAGATCCCCAGCTGTGCGCGGCCTAGGCCGGTGAGAGTACAAGACCTCTGGCACCCCTGGGCTCCCTTGTTTGGGTCCTGGCACCCCTGGGCTCCCTTCCTTCTGTCCTTCAACTGCCTCCCACTTAACTTTCTAGGGAAGACCTTCTCACCTAAGATCTCTTTCCCAGCTGCATGTCCCACTTCCTTCTGTATGTGTTAACTCTCTCTTCCTTGACTTTCTCTACAGCCCAAACCCAAGCACGCCATCACAATTGCTGTCTCTTCACGAGCACTCTTCAATATGGTGGATGACAGGAAAATCTACGAAGAAGAGGGTCTGGAAAAGTACATGGAGTATCAGCTCACCAATGAGAACGTCATCCTGACCCCGGGGCCAGCATTTCGATTTGTCAAGGTACTGTGTGGATTTGCATCAAGGACTCTGGGTGTCAAGAAAAGAACTTGGGAAAATCTTTGAGAGTTGTCCAGTCTCCCTGAAAATCTTTAAACCACCTTAGTAATCCAGTTGACCAAGTACCAAAGACTTCTAGAATTGTTAAGAATCCCCATGGTATCAGATCTGGGCTTTCTTAAATGGACCTTTAACAAAAACGTGTTAACTTCATAGATAGATAGGAAGTACTAGGGCATCAACAATGGTCCTGAGTAATGGAAATAAAATACCTTCTTTAAATGATGGAATTCACTTTAGCTGGTCTGACCCCCAACTATATCGAGAAAATTAAGTTGCTCCTGACATTTAAGTTCATGAATGTGTGCTAAAATATGTAGCACTTGTAATTAGTCACCTATGTTAGTTATAGGATTATTATACAACCAATCATATAACCACAGGAAAGCACATGATGCCTCTATGGTTTGGAGTAAAAGGTGCTCTCAGGACATGTAGAAGCATAGGGAGAAACCACAAAAGCATATGAACATCATAGTTTTTAAAAACTAAAAAAAAAAAATAAAAATAAATTAAGGGTGTGGTATTAGAAGTTGGCATGGTTCTTGAAGATGACCTGACCATGGTTCTCAATCTCCAGTATAGGGGAGTTACAACTTTAACTACAGCTCCAGGGAATTGGACACATTGTAGACATCTGCATTCTCACATGTGTACACGCACACACACACACACACACACACAGAGACACACACACATGCACACGCACACACACACACACACACAATTAAAACAAAATGTTAAAATTAAATAAATCACAGCCTATTATCTCCCTTCCATAGTACATTCAGAAACAAAACAAAACCATTGTGATTATCCATCTACCCCAATCTGCTTCCTGCATATGGGTAACATGTAAATTTCCAAACCATTCCAAATTTCTCACAATAAAATCAGTACTTAGAAATTTAGACAAGTAGATAAATCAGAAGGCAGATCTTTTTCTCTACCCACCCTTGAGATAATTCTAGTAAACAGAACACTATAATAGCATTCCATGAACATTACCCATCCCTGCTGTGGGCATTAACTGAAGCCTATGTGTGGGAACCATAAAACACAGCACCAGTGACATAACCATATCTTAAAGGAGCACTGATTTCTCAGCCAGGATTCTGTGGACCTTGATTCTGACCCTGCTGGGGTGTTTTCCCTCTTGCTGCCTAACACCCACCTTGCATGCCCTTTTTAATACTCCCATGTTTGTAACCTGCAGGCACTGCAGCATGTCAACTCTAGACTCCGTGAGCTGTATCCTGATGAACAAGACTTATTTGATATAGTACTGATGACTAATAACCATGCCCAAGTGGGAGTACGGCTTATAAACAGCGTCAATCACTATGGTAAGTAAAATAAATACCATGTGGAAGACCAGCTCACAGCTCTGCAAAAAAGAGGCCATGCTATTTTGCTAACTGTGGCTTAAACCACTGCTGTATCCTTGATACCGACAACCCCTTCTGCATGGGGAATGTTTATTTGCCTATGTCAGAACAAGAAAGGCCATGCTCATTTTTAACTTCAGTGCAAAGTTGGGCTCAAAGCTCTGGACTTAACTTGTCAAGTGTGAATTTCAAAGTCTTAATCCCAGGTCCTCAATATATTTCTCTGCTTTATGCTTTTTCACTTCTGAACTTGACTTCAAGGAGCCGCCAGCCCAGAGGCTTTTTCTATGGGATCAAACTTTTTCCTCACCACAGATACATGGTAAGGGTTTAAAGGTTTTCACCTCCCCTTCCAATTCTTAAAATTAGGTGATCCTGGTTGCCCTTTCTCTCCCACACACAAATCCATATCCTTCCCAGCAAAATTGTCTTTAGTACTATACGTGGAGATTTTCATTGGTGCTAGTCTTCCAACCCTTTCTATCAATCTTGTAAAGTTTCCCATGTTTTGTGTTTCTATTAACGAAATTACCTAACAGTCTCTTCAGGACATCATTGTCTTGTTTTCTAGCAATGGATCTAGTTGTGGGCATGTCACATAAAAATCAAGTTTAATTTGTGCACATAGAGCTCAAAGGTTTAAATTAGACATTAACCAAGGTGTATTACAAGTTATTCAGTTTTATCATGTCATATGATCCTAATTATAACATTGACATCTGAAATGTATTCTAATAATGAAACCTTCATAAAGTTATGAATTGAAAAGAGAAAATGTGTGTCAAAGGCTCTGAGAAGCATATAATATTCACTTAGGTCTATCTGTCCTTTAGCATGTTAAAAATGCTGAGGTTTCCTATTGTTTTATATGGGAATATTGCTGATAAACCAGTTTGTACACCATTCCATCTTGCCTTTTCTGTGGAATTACAGCCTTGATCTTGGAAGAGTTATTTCTTTCTTTAGGGTATGAAAGACCACTTGTATCTATCTCTGCTGTAGTCTTTGTTAGAACTTACATGCCTGGCTCCACAGTATACTGGGATCCCTTTGAGATAAAAAAGCCAACATTTTCATTCAGTTTTGCAGTCCTAGTGCCAATACATAATTTCTAGAACATTCGGTTGATGTCACTTAATGGTTTCTAAGATCCACTTTTGACACATTTGCACCTATTTGATATTGGATCAAATGAAAATTTGGCAATATTTTTTAACACCAAAGCAGATACTTCTACCCACATTGTGACTTATGTACTTAGTCCTTCAAAGAGCTGGCTAGACCACAGGTTTTGCTTTACCTAGATAGCATAGTTACCCAGTTTATCATAAAGCCAACTTTGAATAAACACATAGAATTTTATCATATGCATGATAGTCTCATATTGATCAATTCATTTTCTTTCAAATATAATCCTAAATTCAGTTATAAGTCTTTACTAAAATTTTGTATTATTTCTATAAAAAAAAATACCCTCAAAAAAGGAATCTCTTTCTAGATAACATATCAATCCATCCTTTGATTCATTGCAAATGTAGGTGTTAACTTTACAAAAATCTTCTGAACAGTCAATGTTTTTCTTTTAATTGTTGGAAGGTATTTAAAAGTATATTAGAGTTTGAAGGCATAGGCTTATAATGCCAAATTTTCAGAAGAGGTTAGAGGATTACCTTTGGTTCAAAACCTACCTGAGCTACACAGCAACACTGCAAGTTGAAAACCAACATGGACAACTTAGCTATATCATACTTGATAATTTTACGAAATTAAATGGATGTGGTAGTTTATTGGTAGAGTGTTTGCCTAATATATACGAAGCTCTGAGTACAAGCCACATTACTGAAAAAAAAGGGAAAGAAAACCCAGAGAATATTAACATCAGGTCTGCTAATAGCTATAATCAAATATTCTAGTCAAGAAGAAGTGAAAATTTCAGAATATCTTTAGAAACTAATTTAAATCTTGGAGTGACTTATTACTAGTATTACATTAAAGAAATGTAGAATGGTATTTAAAATATCACTATAACTTTAAAATTCCCTTTCAATAAGCAAGGAAGAGGCTGTAGTTTAAAGAGAGAATTATCCTAGTGCAGACATGAGTCACATATGTGGGCTGAAGTCTACCCTATGTGGGTGAACCAGTGGATTGGACAAGTCTGTCCAGCATCCTTTCCTATAAGGAGAATAATAGCCACCATGTAGTCTTGAGTAAATTGACATGGTCTATGTGAATATGTTCCATAAACTATAGTGTGCCAAACAAAGAGCATGGATTATCTGAGAGGTTTTTCTAATACTGGTGCTGTTAAAGTCATTTTCAGTTTTCAACAATTGAATATTAGATGATAACATTCAGTTAGACTTGCAAATGAACTCAAACGGATTTCCTAATACAACCTTTCATCCTTATAGCAAATGTCATTGGGATCAATGTTGTTGTATCTTCAGTCTGAACCATAACACTGCTTTTCTTACCTGACAATAGGTCTACTAATTGACCGATTCTGTTTGACGGGTGGAAAAAGCCCAATTGGCTATTTGAAGGCATATCTTACCAACTTGTATCTGTCTGCAGATTCGGAAAAAGTACAAGAAGCAATTAAAGAAGGTAGAGGCCTGGATTTATTCTTCTAGCTCATGAGGTTCTCACAGATGCTCGGTTACCTTGGGTTTCACACAGCTGCAGGTGGCTTACCATCTTGGGTCTCTTGTTAATGCTTGTACACATGTGGCTCCCCTTATGATTTGTATCCTGGGGAATTGACCTTCCTGGAAGGGGAACATTTTCAGTGATTATTCCACAACTCACTTTTTCCTCTCATTCCTGTATAAACAGAATCAGTACATAGATATCTGTTCTGAGATTTGTAATTGTGGAAAGGAACAGAATTATGTTGCAATAGCTACAGAAGAATTATCACTGTTGGGGTGGTTTATTGGAAGAAGAATACTAATCTCTCCATATGATGTCAGGCATTGCCTCTGCAACCATGTTTGCTGGAGCCAAAGACATGGCTTATTGCGACACACAGCTCCGTGTGGCCTTTGATGGGGATGCTGTCCTCTTCTCTGATGAGTCTGAACATATTGCCAAGGAGCACGGGCTGGACAAATTCTTCCAACACGAAACACTATTTGAGAATAAGCCTCTTGCTCAGGTAAGTTTACCAAGCTCAATTTTCATCTGCTTATCTTCCAGCATGTGACTATAGGTACTGGTCCTTGTGATATATTTTAATTTTAGGTGGCTCCCTCTAGTCTCCTTGCACTGTTCTCCCTTTGTTTGTAAACTCCTTACTTTGGAACATGTACTACTGACAACACTCATTTTCAAATTGAACATTCTTTTATTTATCCTTTTGGAAATACTTCTGTAATCTGTTACTGACAAGTTAACCCCCTTAAAGTTCTTGGTAACACATAGCACAGCTCACCAAGAAGCCATTCCAAAATTTTCAGCCCTTAAAACAGAAAGGTCATCTCCAATAATATACTGCTCAGGGAACATTTTCTGGGGATGTCAGTCTGTGACTCCAAGAAAGATACTGTTTAACTAAGAAGAGTTCCAAGATGGAGAGCTTGGATACAAATAAATAATTAGCTTCCACCATCCCTTACAAGCCCCAAACAAGTTTTTGAGGGTTTGGTATTTTGTTTGTTTTCTTTTTTAATTAATTTCATGAAGTATTAAAGGTTAAGATTTGAAAGGACATCTGAAAAGAAGAAAACCAAAAGCATGGAAATGGTACCCAAACAGAATCTGAATTGATGTATGATCTAGTTTTATGCTGAATCTGCTCCATGTTTAGTAATAGCCATGAGCATGGATTGCCTGGCCTTGATCCCTCTCCTTCAAAGGACTTTCAGTCTTCCAGTTTTATGTAATGTGTCTACAGGATCTTTGCAGATATCCTTCGTCAAGTTGAGACTGCTACTACTCACTACGTACTTTTGAGGATTTGTAGATTGGATGTTGGATTTTGATTAATGCCTTTTTATCATTCACTGAGAAAACCAAATGGCTTTTGAAGTCACTGACATGTAAATTCACTGAAGGCTTTTAGTTCTGCACTGACACTGGAAATGGTCAGATAGTGTGATTCCCCCCCCCCTTTTTTTTTAAATTTATTCCTGGATCCAATCTGTAGAGTTGGGATGTTGTCTGACTTCAGGCCAAGTAGTCTATAGTTTAATTACAATATCTCACTTGAGTAGAAGAGTAATAATGATTTCATAAAATGCATGAAACTAAGCAAATGTTTTGTAAGTCGTTCCAGACAAGCTACCTAGGGCTGAACGACATTTTTTTTTAAAGGCTTTTTAATATGCATTAAAATGTGTAGAAGGTAGTGTGATGATAAGGTTGAGGCACATTTGCCATGATATGCATATGGATGTCAGGGAACAACTTTGTGGAGTCAGTTCTCTTTTCTCCTTTATGTGAGTTTCAGGAATCTAACTCTGCTCTTCTGGCTTATGAAGGAAGTGCCTTTTCTCCTGAATGGTCTGGCCAACCCTTGAAAGGCTTTTAACTTACTTATTCATTTCAGTTTTGTTCTTCAATTCATCCTTTCTTTAATAGTTTGTGTTTCTCAAGAATTATCCATATCATTTGTCATTTTTATAACCATAAACTTGTAAATGTTTTGCGATGGTTCCCATGTTTGTAGACTAGTTAGGGAATGTGTCTCCATTTTCATGTCTTATATTAGTAATTGTTGTCAGTTTATTTTATTGGGTTTTTGTCAATATGAGCAATGATTTACCAATTTGATTTATCTTTTTCATGAGATACTTTGGCTAATATTTTAAATGTGATGCCCGATGTCACTTACTGCAATCTTTTTAGTTTTTGTTGTTGTTATTGTTTGTTTGAATTTTTTTCTAAAATAGGCATTTTGAATTTTGTCTTCTTTGTAGGCTATAGTTTTATCTCCATGACTTTTAAAAGTGGTATTATTTTATTTCAATTCAAAATATATTTGAATTTCTTTATGACTTTTTCACTGTTGGGTAGATTGTTTATAAAATTAACTGCCAAATATTTGGTGAGGTTATTTCCCCCACACAGGGCTCTCTGATACTATGTGCAAGTCTTACTCCATTGGGACCAAAAAGAAAAAAAGATTTTGTATTTACTTTGTTGTGCTTTATTTTCTACTAAGAAGGTTATAACTTACCAAGTGTGTCCTATATACTTTGAAAATAATACATTGCTGCTGTTGGAATGAATATTATACAAAAGTTAGAGTTAGCATTTTAATTAAAGTCAAGCTGTTATCCTGAAGGAAGGTGTGTGTGTGTGTGTGTGTGTGTGTGTGTGTTACATACAGAAGCAAGAGATAGATTTTAGTTGTCTTCCCCATCACTCTCCTTCTTGTGTTTTGAATTCACAACAACACTAGTTGGCCAGCAAGCTCTGAGCATCCTCTTGTCTCTGCCTCCCTAGAGCTGGGATAACAGCCCTATACTGCCACACCTGGCTTTTTATGTGGGTGCTAGAGATCCAAACTTGGGTCCCCTTGCTGGCAAGCATTTTACTACCTGCAGGACCACTTTAGTGCCTGCTCATGTTTTTAGGTGGCCAAATCTTTTCGTTTGCTTGCTATATTCACAAGAACACAGTACTAAAGTATCCTAGTGTAACATGGAATTTATTGACAGATGGAGACAGAATCTAACTATGTTGCCAAGGCTTTCCTTGAGCTCACTGTCCTCCTGTCTCAGGTACCCAAGTGCTGGGATTACAGGTGTGCTCCAAAACACCTGGCAGTTTTAATAAGTTCCATATAATGTACTTTAAATCCTACATATTTAGGATTATTTTATATATTCTTCATTATATTCACCAACTCATCTTTCTCATGAAATGCCTAAGTCAGGTATGCATATATTCCTGATTTTTAGAATAATGCTGTATATATTGTATATTTTTTGGTACTTTTTACCTTCATCCAGTCCATATCTTTATATTTATCTTGATGTTATATTTGACATGTAATATATATATATATATATATACATATATGTGTGTGTGTATATGTATATATGTATATATATATATATATATGATATTTTGGAATTACTTTTGAAAATCACTATTTTTTAATTATTTTAATTTCTTTGTGTCTTCCACTCTGTGTGGTGGGTTGTTTACAATTTGGTTGCTTAATTGCCAATACTTAAGAGGTTTTTTAACATATCTGTTACTATGTACAAATCTTACTTACTCTACCTTGACTCAGAAAACACATTTTGTATTGCACTTTATTTGTTGTAGTGTTTTCTGCTTGAATGTGTCCTGTGTATTTGAAATAATTTAAGTATAGTGGGATCAATAGTACTTTAGTAAAATCTAATATCTGCTTACATTCCTCTATGTGTCCCATCTTTTAATTTTTGTCTCTACTTTAGTCATCATGCTTCAGATTCATCTTTATGTATATTACTAATAACTAATTGAAGGTTTTCCTCTGTGTTTATGATAGTTCTTATTATACAACTTAAAGTAACGTGGATGTATGGGAAAACAATCCTATTTACCTTGGATGTAATATGTAAACCCTGCCACAGCTCACTCCCAAGCTCCTGCAACCTTGTTCTTTGTTGTGTGGACATATCCTGACTTTATGTTCTATATTATTAACTCACAAAAACTTGATGCTCTTTTTGTCATTGGCAATGACTGAAAGTGAAGAAGCACAAAATTACAGGTCCTCTTTTAGCATTCAGTAGGATATACATTCTGGCAATTGAATATGGTTTGCTTTGCCTGGAAATTCTGTTTCTTCCTGAATTTATAATTACATTATAGCTAAGCATGGTAGTATACATCCTTAATTCCATCAATTGGGAGGCAGAGACAAATGGATCTCTGTGAGTTCTAAAGGCAGGCTGGTCTACATAGTGAGTTCCAAGACAGCAAGGCTACAGAAAGAGATACTGTCTCAACAAAATAAAATGAAAGTATATTTTACTTTCAATAGTTATAGAACTGTGTTTCCTTTATTTTTCTTTAGTAACTTTAGGATGCTCATCCATGGTTTTCTTACATATTTGCATTGAATAGGTTCTGACCTCAAACCTTTTGAATCTTGTATCTACTGTGATGCCTATATATATATATATATATATATATATATATATATATATATATAGTCTATTTTCACTAGCTCATCAAGGTTTTGTGTATTTCTTAGTTTTGGAGCAGTTGTGTGTGCTCTTGCACGCACCCTTACCATATATGGTTGTGTGGGGTGCATACACACACTTATACATGTGTGGATGCATGTGTGTGTATGTATGTCTGTGTGCCATATGCCTCCATCTCTCTTTCTCTGTCCTCTTTGTCTTTGCATGCATTTGTACCTCTCTTCTTTCTCTCAGCCACCTACGTATGTTGGTGGGTCCCCTATCAATGTGTTCTTTTTGCCTTTACATTTTAAGTCTATACTCATTTATCTTCAAGGTTATCCCGTGTCCTTTCTTAGTCATATAGAGTCGGATGGTCATCAACTAAATAATCAATTTTTAATTCTAGCATTGTGTTCATCTCCTCTTTGCCAAAGTTACTATTGTACTCTTTTGTTTTCTTCTGTTAGACACTGGACTTTTGAAGGACTAATAGCAGGGTTTTTAACATTTTTCTATTACATGTTTAATATTTGTGTCATCATTAAGTCTAAGCTCTTTAAATTCCTGTTGAAAATAGATTATTGTTTTTTGCATTCTCATATGTATATATAATAATATAATACATTATATTATATATTACATATTATAATAATATAATATAATAATGGTCAATTATACTGTCTATACATGGGGGCTTTGCTAAATACTGTTATCAATCTTCTAATTAGCATTCCTCCTCTTCTACTAATGATTGTGATAGACTAAATCAATGTATCAAGAGTTTAACTAGTTAGTTATTGTTGTTGCTGTGGCTTTCTTCATAGTGTCTCGGACTTCAAATTCTTCTCATTGGTTCTTTCTGCCCATGGGTATTTCTCAACCCAAACCTCCAGGCCTTCTCTGTAAGTCTATACAGAAAAAAAAAGGTCTTCAAACTCACCCTGTCATTAATTCTTTCCCTCTCTGCTTGCTTTGTGCCCTGTATTCTGAAGATTGTGCTACTTTTCCTAAATCCCAGTGATAGGAGATGCCTGGTAGTCTAAGATGTGACAGCTTCTCCTGTCAGCTCTAAGAGCAGACAGTTTTTTACTTCTCCAGTGAGAGTGGTTCTTTACATAAGCCTGAGGAGTGCTGCCTAAAGCCCTTCTATCAGCATAAGCCTTCTCCCCTCAAGGTCTAAAGGGTCACTCCTTTCCCAAATGCAGGGCTTCCTGCCCAGCTCTTGTTCCAACTATGATGTCTTTTCTGTCTCCTTCCTTGCCTGCAGTGTCTCTCATGAGCACCTAGTGACGGTCACAGAGGAAAATCCAAGAATGCACTTCTTGGTCTGTAGAGCATAGGGTTGTCCTTCAGGTTCTGAAACTTTCATACTTGCTTATATAGTATCTGGCATTTCCATCTTCATTGCTCTGGAGATGAACATGTTCTTGCCCAACATCTTTCCCTAGTAGATGCCCATTTCTCCTTAGACTTTAGTCTAGTTGTCTACCTTTTGATTTAATTTTATGATATGTGGAAGAAAGTTATGATTGTTCCAAATATCCAGGTATTTATTGTTATTAGGAAAGGAGAAATAGTTTATATCATTTTCTAAATCTCAGACAGATTCCAAATGTTTTAATTCATACATATAACTAGCAAGATGGCTTATCAGTTAAAAGGTGTGTGTTTCCAAGTCTGATGACCTGTATTCAATGTACCAGACCCACCTGGTCAAAAAAAAGAAACAATTCTGAAAAGTAGTCCTCTTCCATATGTGAACTATACATTTTTTTGTACAGGCATACACCCACACACACACAAACACACACACACACAATTGTAAAATGGGTCAGCCAAACGGCTTAGAGAATAAAGGTGCTTATCACCAAGCACATGACCCAAGCAAGTTCCATTTTATACAGAGAAAATGTAAATCATGGATGATATCCAAGAAAAACCTCACTTGGGCAAAGAGAGGACACCAGGCAGTATGATTGATGGTAAACTGAATTTTCAAAGATTATTTCCATAAACATTTTCTTGAATAAACTGCTATGATGGGACAAGTGTCTAGTATGTCAATGGCTACGTGTACTAAGACATAAAGGAGCGTGGAATAAATTTACTCATGGATTTAGAGTAAGACAATAGTAAAGACTAGAGTAGCATAGGAAAAAAAGAAGCAAACATTATGTGTTAATGTAGAAACTATAAAGATATATGCCTTTAATTCCAGCTTTTGGGAGGCAGAGGCAGATGGATAGATCTCTGTGAGTTAGATACTGGCCTGGTCTACACAACTAGATCCAGGACAATCTCCAAACCTACACTGAGAAACCCTGTCTCAAAAAACAAACAAACAAAAAGATACATAGCTTTAAGTCAGGGCTGGTCTTGGGGCAAACAAATATGTAACTAAACAAAGGGACAGTAATTTCAAAGGTAAAAGATGCAGCTAACAAAAAAAGGGGGGAGAAATGTCATTTTGGTGATCAACTGATCACTCACAAAGTTACGGCGGGTAGTTATCACTATTGTCCTGGCTTACTTATTTATAGAACATTTTTCCACACTTAAAAAACATCTACATTTGGATGATAAATGATGTGGTTTTCCGAGATTTATTCCAGGCATGCAAAGGGATGGTTGTGTATCAGGTACTTTGCCACAAATACAGAGAGTTTGGCGCCATGGTGCCAGCCCATAATCACTGTATGACAGTTAGCATTGTGTTTTATAAGTGTAAGGATTCAGGCATTATGCTAGCTTGCCCCTGTCACCTGACAGAATGCACTCAGGCAGTACTCTGGTCAGCCCAGGGTTCCATACCTACTAGTTTACATGCAGGTACAAAGGACCCTTTTAAAAGAAAGAACCCCCCCCCCACACACACACACACACTTATGCTCTCTTTCCCACTCTTCCCTGCTGTTCCCCTGGGTCAGACAGGGCTTTTCCTGTCTCCCTCTTCCCTTCTATTCTCTCTCTGTCACTTTGCCTCTTTACCCCTTTTCTCTTCCTCACCCCCCTTTCCCTTCCTAATAAAACTTCTCACTAAGCTCTGCCTGGCATGTTTGTGCCATACTTCTGTCACCTTCGCTTGCCATGGAATCCACAACACCCCCCCCCCACACACACACACACATTAATCATAACAATAAGGTCACAGAAGACCCTGCCTTGTCAGTAATCACTTCTTTTTGCTCGCCCATTCACAACTGAGACATATGTTCTCTTTTCCAGGGTCCCCTTAAAGGCTTTCTGGAAGATTTAGGCAAACTGCAGAAGAAATTCTATGCCAAAGACGAACGGCTACTTTGTCCCATCAGAACCTACTTGGTTACAGCCAGGAGTGCAGCAAGTTCAGGCGCCCGTGTGCTGAAGACCCTTCGCCGCTGGGGTCTAGAGATAGATGAAGCTCTTTTCCTGGCTGGAGCCCCCAAAGGTCCCATCTTAGTGAAGATTCGGCCCCACATCTTCTTTGATGACCAGATGTTCCACATCGAATCAGCACAGAAATTCGGCACCATCACAGCCCATGTACCTTATGGCATTGCTCAAAAACGCACCTAGGGATGGGGAGGAGAAATAAACAGTGACAGTCTGGTATTACAAATGGCACTTGTTTTGGATGTCTAGAGTAGTTAGGTATTTTCTAGGACTGGACCACAGAACGTAGCCCCTTTGGTGTTTTTCTTACTCCTTCCTCCCTTCCTTCCTCTTTCTCTCTCTTCCTTTCTCTCATTTTCTTTTTTTCTTTCTTTTTGTTGTTGTAAAACATTTTGAACTGTCAAGCTATGGTCAAGCTAAGGATATTGAAACCCACTGCACCTGTGCAAGTCGTAACTGGCTCTTTAGATAAATTCAGAACTTACACGCTTAAGTTGTTTCCCAGAAGAATGAACACTTCTGAAAATCGGGGCTGTGTACTTTGTTATCTCTGTGCGGCAAGCCTTTTAAAAACACCAATTTTAACACTGACCACTTCTAAACAAATCCACTGATGGTTTCCACAGGGTAGTTTCTAAAATGAACTCTACTGCCAGCGGCCCTCTGGAGGGGAACTACAAGTCCCAGCAAGCCCTGCGCGCACTAGCCCAGGACAGCAGATGGCGCCCCAGAGTCCTTCGCGCACAGTGACCCCTTGGACTCCGGAACCTGTGCTCTAGGCCCCGGTGCACCCAACCCGGAAGGCTATGGCAGTGGCGACTGTGGCTGCAGCGCTTCTGGCCGCACTGGGTGGGGCGCTGTGGCTGGCAACACGGCGGTTCTCCGGGCCCAGGGGCCAGCGCATGCAGGGAGGCGGGGACCGGAGCCTCATGCACGGGAAGACAGTGCTGATCACTGGGGCAAACAGCGGCCTGGGCCGCGCCACGGCCGCCGAGCTGCTGCGCCTGGGGGCTCGGGTCATCATGGGATGTCGTGACCTTGCGAGAGCGGAGGAGGCTGCGGGTCAGCTCCGCCAGGACCTCAGCCAGGCTGCGGGTCAAGAGCCCGACGCCACCGAGGGCCAGCTGGTCGTCAAGGAGCTGGACCTTGCCTCTCTACGTTCTGTGCGAGCCTTCTGCCAAGAACTATTGCAGGTGTGGGTCTAATGGAGTCCAGCCACACACGGGGGAGGGGCCCCTAAGGCCTGGTGTGACCTTGAGAGTGGTTGGGGCTAAGAAGACACCTGCCAGACTGGGACCCTGCTGGGAGGGGCAGGTCCCACAAGGAATTCCTGGGAGGGCCCCAGAAGAAGTGAACAAATAAGCCAGTGTCTGGACATTTCATTTTGTTAGGCGAGGACAGTCCAGGCATCATCACCTGATTTTTGAATTGTTTTTCCTGTGTCTGAAGTGAAATGTATGCCAAATCTTACTTGGTGTCACAAGGCCTAAGAGCACTGCAGGAGAAAAGCTAGCCAAGAATTTTGATTAGGCCCATTGTAAAAATTTCTGTTTCTTTATTTCCTGGTTTTGTCTGTCTTGTTTTTGTTTTACCCTGATGAAGCAGGAGGGAGTCTTACTCGTTGACTGACACCTTTGCATCATCCCTAAATAGAGTCCACCCCATTTTCGAGTCACATTAGACACAGCCACCCTCCTTGTTCTACATACATTTTCTTTTGTTTTTTAGCTTCTGCACATGCTTTTAAGACCCTAATAGCTGTTAATAACTGCTAAACTCACAGCTGTACAAAGAAACCATCTCATCAGAAGAAAGTCCATTTTGAAACACTTGGAGTAGTAGATAATCAGTACAGAGTACCACTGTTTACCCCAAAGTTAAGCCATTGCACAGAGAGCTCCTTTTGTGTTCCAGGCACCATGTGGCATATTAAGAGCTGGTGCAGATCAGAGGAGTTGTTTTGTAGTTAGCATGCCATTTGCATGTAGCAGAGCAAGTAGCAATACCAGTCTCTGGGAGATTTTGGAAACACAGAAAGCAGGTTTACTGATGTGTAAACAGGGTTGCATATACTCTTCACTGACTCCATTGCTGCATCAGCCAGAACACAAAGAGGTATCTAGATTGTGTTATCCTAAGTATTTACATTCTTGTCTTGGCTCTGGAGTTCAGTGATTATAATTAAAAGGAAAAAGGAAATAGAAATTTTGACATTCTTCTGTTTAATATTCTTGGAATTTATGCCATGTATCTCCTAGAATTTAAAAAAAAAATAGTAAATGATAAAGTCTTAACACAAGCCCAGCAAAGAATGGTAGTACTAAAGTGATTAATTCTGGAAACCTTTCCAGAAGATTAGAGAAGATGAACACTCCTGCCTTCCCCATATCTGTGAACTCACAGCCCTCTTTTTGAAGTTAACTGGTGGGAAACAGGCAAGTTTTTCCACAGGCCAGAATGAGAAACAGTTAACCCAACAGGTAGCCTTTGATAACTGTTGTGAAATTTAACACATTTTTCTTTCACTTACACTTGGCAAAAGAAAGGAAATAAAAGAAAAAGAAAAAAAAAAAAAGCAATGAGAGTTGAAATTTGACCTGAAATTAATTAATCATAGGTCATCAGTGTGTCTTTACACCTGGAACATATTGTGCATTTCTTTCCCTCTGTCATCAAAAGAGACAGAGGAGCAAGGAAACAGCCAAGGAAAACCAACTTAGATAATGGAAGGAATGAAAAGGCTCCCTGTGAGCACAGCACAATTTAGGGCTTTAATTTGGGAAGTATATGATGCTTGGAAGATATTTCATACAGGGAAGAAAACACTGAGTTCTGGAATTACAGTGAAAGTTAATAGTATCTGTTGACTTTCATCTCTTTTGTCTTTGGTCTATTGCACTATTGAGAGACTCTTATAACAGTCACAGTGTTGTTACTAATACTTTTATGTTACCCACTCGGTGATTTTATTAACCTTTCTTCCTTGATTTGATTTATTAACAGTATTTGCTCTAGTCCAAAGTTTACATCTCTGACCTTTCTTGGTCCCAATTCTGGGGAAGTGTCTTCAAGTTGTCTTGTCCCTGTGGTGACATTTTACATTTAATTTACCCTTGATGGTGATACCAGTTAAGGTGGTAGTCACAAAACCAGCTCTTTGCTGGATGTGTCTACCTTGCTCACCTTAACTCAAGCTCTGTTTTAAACAGCTCACTCAGAAGGCCAGGCTAGGTTACTAATTGTGAGAACGGGCTTTGGAATCTATGGATTTCATTCATTTTCAGGCTGATTCTGACTTGCTCTTGGGAGTTTGGTGACTTTGACCAAGTCACCTGGGCCTGCCTTGAACTTACAACATTGGATACAGTTAGTTGAGAAAAGGACAAAGCGGGTCCCTACTAATCATGTAACATTGCCTCAGAATTATATGTTTTATATTTTGCAAGTTTTTTTTAGGTTTATCACTGGGATACTATAAATTTGATATGATAACACCAAAACTGATATTTTTCTAGTTCAAATGAAATTAAGAGGAGGCATAGAATTCTAGGAGTCTCTCATCCCCAAATTTGCTTATTTCTGTTCTAAGAAAGACCTTGATAATTATATAATCAACATCTGAGTGAAATGTCAGAGTATACATATTCATAATCATTAAGTTGTAAAAAGCTTACTAAGATTGACAGTGCTTCAAATAGTTACTGGATGCATAGGCTAAAACTTGAGAGTAGTTTTAGTCTCAAATTCTTTTCATTGTTAGTAAAATGATATAAGTGAAAAGAGCTATGTAAAATATGTATTGATAATTCTGCATTCTCTTCCTGGTTTTAAAGGAAGAGCCCAGGCTAGACGTCCTGATCAATAACGCAGGGATCTTCCAGTGCCCATATATGAAGACGGAAGATGGGTTTGAGATGCAGTTTGGAGTGAACCACCTGGGCCACTTCCTACTCACCAATCTTCTCCTTGGACTCCTCAAAAGTTCCGCTCCCAGCAGGATTATAGTTGTTTCTTCCAAACTTTATAAATATGGAGACATCAACTTTGAAGACTTGAACAGTGAACAAAGCTATAACAAAAGCTTCTCTTATAGCCGAAGCAAACTAGCTAACATCCTTTTCACCAGAGAACTATCCCGTCGTTTAGAAGGAACAAATGTGACTGTCAATGTATTGCATCCTGGTATTGTGCGGACAAACCTTGGGAGGCACATACACATCCCATTGCTGGCCAGACCACTTTTCAGTTTGGTATCGTGGGCTTTTTTCAAAACTCCACAAGAAGGTGCCCAGACCTCCATTTACTTAGCCTCTTCACCTGAGGTAGAAGGAGTGTCCGGAAGGTACTTTGGAGATTGTAAGGAGGAAGAACTATTGCCCAAAGCTATGGATGAGTTAGTAGCAAGAAAACTGTGGGACATCAGTGAAGTGATGGTTGGCATTTTAAAATAGAAATAAAGTAAGAGGGCTATTTATAAGGCAACCCATTACACCCTTGGTCGGGAGCAGCATGTGTGAGCACATGGTACTTGAAAACAGTTTTGGGTTGGCAGTAACACTGCTGAGAGGGACACATGGGTATTTGAAGGGCACTGGAGTTACATGGGCTAATACAAAGTTAAATAACTAGAATGAGCAGCACATCCTGTTTTATAATTAAAAATTATAGTCAGGCAATCATAAATGCTAAACATAATAGCTACCTAAAAGAGAGTTTCATAGCAAAAAAAAAAAAAAATGTTAAGAACTTTTGCTACAGTGCTTGTTTTTGGAAATAATATGCCTAATGTGTGCACATAATTATCACTTGGAATAAATGTATGATGCAGATTCCACAGTGTGCATTTCTTTAGAAGTATCTGAATGCAGTCCATTAGCTTGTTCTCATAGGCCTTTCTTGGTCTTGCAGTACCCATGTTATTCCTGCATACTGCTCTGAAAATTTATGTTTATAAAACTCCAACCTATGGCCTTCTGTCCTAACGTACTTCCAAACCTGTGCTGGTTTCCAGTTAGCTATGCAGTAAGTTTTCTTAGCCTTTTGTTGTGGTTGTTTGTTTTCCAGCTATACAACTCTTTACTCAAAGAAGTCTTTTACTCAAACATCAAGGTTGAGTATATAAATATAGCAGTGATGTAGAGCTGAAATCCCCCAAAGGAACACAAGATGTTGTAGTTGATAAATCATCCTTAAACATTAAGCTCTGTCACACATGCTGGAGACACCCCAAGCTATCCACAGGCCTTGTACACAGGCCTGCTCAACGGAAAGTATAGTGGGCTATATGTGGAAACAGTGCATGAAGTACAACTGAGAAATGAACTTAAGATCTTATTTAAACAGGTAAATGTCTTAGACTGTCCATCTACTTTATTCAGCCCTGAACACAGAGCCATCCAAGCCCTTGCCTTCAGGTCATCCCTTCCTATGTTCTTTCAGCCTAGAGTACCTGTTCCAAGAACGCAACCGACTTGTCATCTGTCCATCAGATGTACCTGTAGGCAGAATCAATTCTGTCTTCTTGCTTTGTTTCCTTTGGCTTTGGTAACTTTGTTTAAAGTACACTAATTATTCACTCCAGGTCAGTTAGACAATTTAAAAGAATTATCCAAAGAAAGTAGTTTTTCTCCCTGGAGAGTCAAGTGTAACAGCTGACAGTGAAAAAGATCAACAAAGAATGAAATATATTTATAGTTATATGTTTTGTAACATTACATATATTTTATATATGAATTCTATTAAGTATATAAATATAAAATATTTTATAAAAATAACTGAGCCCAAATGGGCATATTTTAGGCTTCAGGAGTTATCAACTTAATAGCTTCCCTTTTTTGTCCTGTCACCTCCGAGTATTAATGAAAACACCAAGTGAGGAATCTCTAGTTTATGACCATTAGGGCAGAGCTAATGCTTGCTATTTTATCATACCTGGTTACTAATATTGGTTCCTCTCCAGGCCAGCAAGATTTTGGCCGAAGATTTTGGCCGATCATGCAAAAGGTCTGTTTTATTTTACAGATTGTCTTGTGAGCATAGCAAATGTCATCACAGGTAGGATCTGTGGGTGTAGTGGGAAGAGCAACATCGAGTGCTTTGAAATGTATTTTAGAAGGTTATCATACAAAGGTTATCATACAAAAAGGTTATCATACAAAAAACTCAGAATTATGGGCAGGAAGTACACGAGAATGCGACTTGGAAAAACAGAAGTTAATAAATCTGTCTTACACCTCGGCTTCATTAAAAAAGAGCTCCCTTTTTCATTTAATACCATCTCTTCTGGCTGGATTTTGATACCTGATACTTTTCAGGGGATTTGAACCTTCTGAGCCTTTCAGGTTTCTCGTTTGTGGCTCTACAATAAAATAGGATATATTAATTTATAGTGATGGAGGAAAAACTTATCTGCAAACACCAACTATTAAGGTAAAATGAGCTGCCATTTGGAAGATGTCTTTCCCACTACTGTGGCTGATGGAATCAAGGACCCACAGCACCAGCCTGACTAGTTACAATTGCAAGATTATTTCTGCTCTTTCTTTCTCTCTTAACTCACTTGTGATCATTCCACAGAGCAAACGAGTAAGGGAAACAGTTTTATTAGTTTGATACTTTTACCTCAGCAAAATACTGGTAGAGCAAGCCTGGGCCAAGTAAATGGATAAAAGAGGTGAAAACCATTGTTCCATCCTGGTTCTTTGTGTTTGTTTGTTTGTTTTAAAACTGACTTTATTCAAGCAGTTTGGTCCAAGAAGCAACACAATCATTGTCCTGATGTTTGAATATCACACATATTACCTAATCTAGTGGGGTTTCTAATTACCATTTAATTGTAAAAGTGGTTTCATTTCCTAGCATACCACTACACTGGGTTTAGTTAATGGCTTCTCCAACTTAACTCTTCAAATGATCAAGGGAAATTACTTAACCATTCTAAAATGTTGTTTTCCTAGTTCCAGTGTTAGTTATAAAGTTGTATATGAGAGAAAATGTGTTTGTGCCTGTGCCACTGAGTATATACGAAGGTCATTGAACAAGTTTGTGGAGTTCTATGCTCTCTCCTTCCACCTTGCTCTTGGTTCTGGAGGTCAAGCTCAGGTCAGCAGGCATCTGTAGCAAGCACTGAACTATTTTTGCTGGCTGACAACTACATACTCTAAAAGACTGATCAATAAATGAATGTGATGGATTCAAGTGAGTAAAATGATAACAGATACACATCCACTTTTATTTTAAAGTCATGCCTAATAGTGACAGTAGTAGTAATAACGATCAGAGATAATGATGGTTAGCTGAGTACATATCATGGAAAGGACTCTAGACTGTGAACCAGGAGCCCATTTTTGTCAAAAGCTAATTGTGCATATTTAAGGTTTGGTGAGTCATTGCCAATATCCACATTACATATTTTTACACATTGTCCTCTTTTTCTTTTTTGCTCCAATATTATAAAATTGTAAAAACCATTCTCAGATAGTCCAGAATATTCTATTGTACTTCCACAACTAGTGCCATGTTCCAAGCCTGCTACCTTCACAAACAGTTCATCTTTCTGCAGTGGTTGTAATAACAACAACTCCTTCTGTATGGAGCTGCTTCTGTTTTTCTATATGATTTTTAATCTTGTATGATTATTTGCTCTAAGACCCAGGAGGTCTAGAGAGTATATTTTGAAATCTACCTCCAGCTATAGATTCTGGTGTGAGGAATAGCAGTTATCTGCTTCCAGCTCCTTCCCTGCACAAACCTGCTGGGCCTGGCCAGAGATCTAAGAAAAATCTATATTTGAATATTTAATTGATTCCAAATGTCCCAAGGAACACTAAAGAGAACATGTTACTAATCACCCTTCAGGAGCTGGGCCCCCACAGACAGCTTCAGATGTTCACAAGGCTTCTCTGGACAATGGGGAGTTAAATTAGTTAGAGGTCAACATGGAGGAAGGTAGTTAATTTCAAGAGGAAAGTAGGAAGGCATGCCCAGTTTTCTGCAGCCCAAAAGGAAGAGGTTTTGCCAAGCCAGATGTTTAATCAAAGTAGAATAGATTCACTCCAGCAACCACCATGTAACTAACTGTAAGACTAGAATCCCATTCCTTCTGAGAAACACACAGGCTGAGCCTCAACCTGCAAAGGTGGTAATGGGCTCCTTTCTAGCACTGTGTTGTATCCAACCTTTGGACACTGCAAGAATACATTTTCAAAGTTCATGATGGAAAGCTGTGAAACCATTACAAAAGCTAAAAAGAAAGGAAGAGAGAAGGGAGAGAGAAAGAGACAGAGAGGGGGAGAACCTTTCCTTCTAACATTTTAAGTTTATAACTTTGTGGTAGACCACATTTACAGCTATGCTGGGGTACATGTGGCCCGCATACCATAGATTGGATGTGACTGTGGACGCTTAGCTCCCTTTTGTCATGGTATCATTAAGACAAGGAAATTATATGTCATCACTTGTTTAATTAACAAATATTTGAATGTATTTTACATGTTAGATATTGGGCTGTTGTCTATACTCTGGAGATGGAGGAGGCCACAGAGAAAAGCCAGCCAAAGCTATGTGTCCTTTTGTGATTGTTAGATGTGTTTGTTGTCAATCACAGTACACTTTAATAGTCATAGTACAAACTGACAAAATGTAAAGTCAAAGAAAAGGTGCATTTCTATAAAACATAGCTGGATTGATTTGCAACAAGTAAGTGAGGGAAGATCATTGGGAATTTACTGTTGAATAAAGTTACAAACAACTATCTTTTACTAAAAATAAATTCTGTGAATAAACAAAAATATTGGTATTCAGTGTCTTTAAAGTGACTTTAAACTCTTGAGCCCATTTTTTTCTGCTAGTTTTTGCTTGTTTTCATTGTCTCATTTTTATTTTTATGTTTAATTTGTAGGCAGACAAAACAATTGGCTTTGTTATAGTATTTATGTATGCACATAGAAGCATTATTCTGTGTTCCCATTTTCATTCCCTCTCCTGCACTATTAGGCCAGCTTTAAAAAAAAAAAAAAGACGCAAAAGTTGGAAATCATAGGCTGTACTCCCTAAGTAAATATAGTGTAAGAAGATCCAATTTCAAGTGGATTTAAGCTCAAAGAGCTGCAAGGAGGTTAATTAAGCCCTTAGCCTCAAATGAGATGATAGGTTAATGAATGGATGTGTTCTGTTTCAAGTTCAGGTAATGGCTTCATGGTGTAGATGACTCATCATTATTTCCTCTTTTCTTAAGCCTTTTCATGTAACCAGCCAGTCTCAAGTAAGAGGGCTTCTACTGTGTAAAATACAGTAATCACTGGCATTTCAGGAGAATTTCAGCTTGGTTGAATTTATACTACATATTATCTGTGGGGTAATTTGTAATTATCCAAAGACTTCTAAAATTTGGAATAACTTTATTTTTTTAATGTACCAACGTGCTGAATTGATTATCTGATATCATCAATGTGGTCCCAACATGTTTTTGCAGCTGCTCCTCCAGATTTAATTTCATTATCAGCTTTGTTCCTCTCCCTTCCTCACTTAAAAAGTGTCAACTAATTATGGTAAATAGTAAAGTTCCTGTATACTCAAGATTTATTGTTTTAACATTGTCATCTTGTCTTCAGAAGTTGATGTGTTATATATGTGTTATGGTCCCATTGCTGATATTTAAGTTTGTTTGAAAACATCAAACATATATTCATTCATTTATAAATCTAAACTTATAAAAAGCAATTGTACATTTTTATTGCTGCTGTGATGGCACACACGTCTAAGTAATCATCTAATCATTAGCAGAATGAAACGGGAAACCCTTCTATTCCCATTCTTTGTACCACCATGAAAC